CAACATGGTGACCAGAGGGCGGGGCACCTGCCAAGGGGCAGGGCTACCCTTGTGTCCCTTGACAGCTCACCAAAACTTATTAAGCAGCCCTCCAGTTGAAATAATTGCCCACCCCTGATGTAAAGGGAAGTCCTACCTCATTAATCTGGTGGAGTTCTTTAATAGTATGACAGAGCGCCTTTTGGGTGCCTGTCACTTCAAGGGCTGGTCAGCAGGCAGCCGACAGGTGCTTGATTAAGTTAGCTATTTTAGAGCCCAGCCCTCAGTGCTGGGGCAGCAGTTTGAGCTGAGAGAGCAACATTACTCGGCTGAGCTACTGCTCCTGGAACATCTTGGAGGTAAGGGCAGGAACTATGGGGATGGCAGGAGGCTCCTGGTCCTGGGTAAGACTGAAAACTGCACCCTGCTGGGGAAGGGTGGCCTGGTGGGACCTCCTGTAGTGAGGGAGTCCCCAAGAAATGCCAGACCAGTTATCTCCCTGGTGAAAGGTGGGTTGGGGCTCCTTAACCCCAGCCTCCACCATTTGGTGGGTTATTGGTGGGAGCAGTGGGGCCAGGCATGCCTAGTAAGAGGCACCTGAGCCCATAGCAGCGTAAGACCCAGGAGTTGGGGCCAGGCACGCTTACAGAGAAGCACCTGAGCCCAAAGGAGTGTTAAGACCCCAGGCTGTAGTGAGAGAACAGAGTTGAGGCCAGGCATGCCTATTAAGAGGCACTTGAGCCTGCAGGGGTGTAAGACCGTGAGCCCCAGCATAGGGGAAGAGTGTAGGCCCAAGAAAGGGGTGAAGTGGCCTGGTAAGAGGCTAGGGGCAAAGTCAGCCCAGAGCTTGGCTAATTGCCCAGCCACCATTCAGATGAGGGTCACAGGAGAGACCCAAAAGGCTGTACCAGGGCTGGCTGAGGAGTGAAGAGATACGCCTGATGGCCCACATAGTCGCTCAAAGGGAGCAGGGCAGGGTGTATGTGGCTCAGGACAGGGCAGTGTGAGAAAGGCCTGGTGAGAGTGGGTGGAATGTTAGAGGCCCCTATGAGAGTGGGGCAGAGCGTATGAGGCCCAGAATAGTGCAGTATGGTAGAGACCTAAGTCATTGCTCCCATTGTCCCTGCCACTGGAGCCCTGGCAGAGACAATGTCCCCCTGCCCTGGCAGCATGGAACTCCCAGCTCCTGCTCTGCGATTCTGGGGCCAGTGCTGGGAGATTCAGCAGGGAGCTCCCAGCACCAGCCCTGTGGCACTGGGAGATAAGGATCTCCCAGTGCTGGCCCTCCGAAGAATCTCTCAGCCCCTGCTTCCCAATTGTGAAGCAGGGGCTGGAAGCTCCCCACTGCCAGGGCAGGAGGACATAGTCCCTGCTCAGGCTCCAGTGGTGGAGCCCAGTGTGGCAGCAGGCAGCTCCCGGAGGCAGTGAGCAATCTTCTGCCCTCTGCTGCTCAACAGGCTGGGAGCACATTTGCTCCTGGTCAGCTGTGTATACATGTGCTACTGTGCAGTAAGTAATTGAGAGCAAATTTGCCACTTGCATTTGTAGGTAGCATATTTCCTTGTGATTAGAGCAGGTCACTGCTCAGTAAGCATCTGCACATGTAGATGGTGATGCTTACTACACAGTAATTAGCTCTAATTTCAAGTAAAGTATCTTGTGTAAATGCCCCCAATATGCAAGAACAACCAGTGAAGGCATTAAAATGTTGGGCATCATTAAGAAGGAAACAGAAAACAAAACAGAGAACATTGCCATGTCATTATACAAATCTGTGGTGTACCCGCATCTTGAATACCGTGTGCAGTTCTGGTTTCTGCATCTCAAAAAGATGTAGAATTACAAAAGGTACACAAAAGAGCAGCCAAAGTTGTCAATGGTATGGAAAAATTGCCCTACCTAAAAAGACTAAAAAGGCTAGAATGCTTCAGTTTTGAAAAGAGGAGGGTGAGGTGTGTTAGAGGTCTATAAAATTATGAATGGTTGGTGTGGACCAGGTGAACAGGGAAATGTTCACCAAATCACAGAATACTAGAACTAGAGGTACCCACTGAAATTAGTAGCAGGCAGGTTTAAAATTGTCAAGAGAAAGTATTTTTTATGCAAAGCATTGTTAATTTGTGAAATTAATTGCCACAAGAGGTGGTAGAGGCAGATAGAATAGCCAGGTTCCAGAAAGGACTAGACAAATTCATGGATAATAGATCTATTGATAGTTGTTGAATATAATTCCTCTGTCATCTCTAGATGAATAATGAATGCCAGGAAGGATAATGGATAGGAAGTAGATCACACTAGATCTCTCCAGTTCAACGCTTTTCCTCTAGCGTCCACTTTTGTCATTCAGAGATGAGCTACTGGGTTAGATGGACCATTGGTCTAACCCAGCATGACACTTCTTATATTTTTATATTCTTAATCCTGGAAAATGTGGCTAGATAATGGGGAAGTGGACATGGAGGACTATAATAGATATTTGCTGCATCAGAGAATATCAGCAATAGGAAGCAGTCGTAACTGATCTATTGTCCTGGTGTTCTATAACTTTGCCAGCTTTGGGAAATACACTTACTGATTAATATCTCAATAGAAGCCCTGATACTGTTTTGTTATTTTTATATTAATCCAAGCTGTTGTTAAAGATTCAGACTTCTTTTCAAAACATTTATGGTTTTATTACCTTTCATCAAGAAAGACTGGTGGTTTTCTATTTAAAACAGGTTAAATTTAATTAATATATTTATTCAATATTAGTCAAGAATATCAGCTCATGTCATAGAAGCTAAATGGTTTGGGTTTTTTTTGTTTCCCCATGGATAAAAAATTGTTTTTATCTACAAAGTCATACAGCACAACTGAAATATTTCAGTACTTACCAAGGATAGGAAACTTGGCAATTTTTTCATTTGAAGCCAGGAAACAATATCCTAAAGAGGTTTAACATTTTTTCCCCTTAAACTTTGTACAAAGTGTCAGTCTTCAATACAGATTTTTCCAGACTAAACACTGATCTATTCTACAGTGGAATTTTGCCTGGGAAATCATTCCTACTTATTTGCTTTAGCGTTGAACATTAAAATAATATCACTTTAGATCTGTTTTATAATTGTAGACTGTAATTTTCATCCAAGACTTACCATATTGATTTGTCATTTTTCTAATGCCAAGTCTGATTTATACAGAGTGACATGATTTTGTAAATGAGGCCTATGCATGCATTTATTAGGCATATATATGTTTTAAGATAAGGAGAAATAAATTGATTACATTAATTTAAAAAAACAATCTGAAACAAAGGGACTGTGTGAAAGAAGATTTTGCAGTGCTTACTGACTGGGCTGTCTTCTTTTTTTCTTAACAACTGCACGAATATTTTAGATCTTGTTTATTTTCTCTGCAATGCTACAATGAGGTAGGGTGGCATTCCATGTAAGTTTATGTCATGTGTGAAGAGCCAAATCCTAAGCTGTTGCCAATGCTTGCAGGGGATCTGGCTCCTTATAGAGCTGATAGAGCTGGTAGTCTCATCATTAAATCTAGATCTGAATGGATCTGCAAAGTAGAGCTACCATTTACCACTTGGAGGTGGGTCTTGCTAAGCTGAGACTAAGGCAGTTTGGAAAGACAGTAAGGTGGAGGAGCTTATAATGTCACTATCAATTCTGTATGTGATCTCTGGACAAATAAAGGACCCAACTCTCATACCCGGTTAGGGGCTTATAACTTTGTCAGAGGGGTGGACAGGAGCCTTGGTACAAATGGGAATCTGGTCCTTCTCTCTTCCAAGCCTTTCATCTAGCTCTGGTCACAAGTAGAAAAAAAAATCACAAAAAGGTACTTTCTTAAAAAAGCATTTAGTTAGAATCACTAGTTTGAGGAGTAAATGTCAAAAACAAACTGTCCACAATGGTTCTAGAAATATTTGCTGAGATACCAAATGCAGAAATCTACATGACAGTCGCTCTTGCCATTCTACAGTAGCTTCAACGTGGCTTCAGCATTCTCTTGTCTTCCAATGTAGATGCTGTCCCTATTTATGAAAATCAAGTTGTCAAGAATAAACTTTCATGTTCTGTGTGCTAAGAACAAGAATGGCTAGCTTGACCAGCCAAAGAAATACCATTCAGGCCTAGGAACTACTGATAAATATCCTTGTTCCTGCTTCTCCAACTTCTTTTGATACATGCAGGCGTGTCCTTCCTCTACTAAGTTGGAAATCAGTGGCCATGATCAACATGCTGATGTTTTTGCCTAACAAACCATTAGCTGCAATAGCTAGCTGTTCTTAATTATTACACTATATGTGCAGAAGTCACATTGACATAACGAACTCAGCAGTCCCTTTTGTTATTGGAAGTCCGCTTAACTCTTCTTACTACCCATTGGACTGTGTTCCATGTTTCTTACCTCCTTATACTCTCAGATGGAATTATTTCCTAGTTCTTTGCCTTGATGTTTTACATTTTTAAAATTTGAAAGTAAAGATAAAGGGTGCTCACCTCTGGTAGACGTATCAGAGTCTGATAACTTCTCTTGAAGAAAGGACCTTCATTGCAGTTCTGGGAATTGTGTAAGCATGTTTTCTGAGCCCTTTACATGACCTTTCTTCTGGTACGTATGGCTCCAAAATCACCTCAAAGGTGAGGCTGGAATACATCATACAGAAGAAATTGCAGAAGCTAGGTCGGGTGTATTCCTTTTTTCAGGATAGCATCTTCTAGATGAAACTACCCTTCACTGTGTGTTACTGTACATTTCCATAGTAATGTTTAATTGCTAAAATTGCAGAGGGAACCTCAGTACATTATTGTATCCTGTGCATTTACCTTTGACATCAAAAGAGGGATAATAAAAATTTTGGCACACAGTAACTTCCTGCTGCTATTCTTCAGCTTTTTCAGTAGAACTTGGTAAACCTGAAAAAAGTAGAGGTGTTTTTTTAACAAGAAATACAAATAGATCGTGTGTAACTGATTGGCTTTGGCTGCGTATCTAACACTAACTATAATATCTCATAACAGCAAGTATGCCTACTAGTGAAACTGAGTCTGTGAACACAGAGAATGTCAGTGGAGAAGGAGAGAACCCCATATGCTGTGGAAAGCTGTGGTGAGTATACAAAGATACATGTGCAAGTATTTCCAATGTCCTAGAATTGAAAAGACCCTGTTTTCTCTACTGCCTATTCTCTTCTCTACTTTATCTCTTTGAAATACTCAAGGTTTGTTTAATGCATAATGTTTTGGCTTTTAGTCACTTAATGTAAAATCCAAGTCATTTTATCTGAACAAAATTGGAGCATAGTGAAAGTCTGAAGTCACAGTAAATACAGTTATATTTCATTAATGATTATTCATTTGAACCTTAGATTTGCACAGGTTTAAGGGTTTATAATTATTTCCTCAAAACACTGAAAAAAGAGGGGAGAAGTAACTTAAGAAATGCAATGAAGATTAGTGTCTTCCATTAGTTGAAGCATGATACAGAGTATCCTTATTTCATAAACTGGGTAAAAGTAAAGCATTCTCTAGCTGTTTTTTGAATACTGCACCTTTTGGTAGACAAAACCTAATCATAATAATTGTGAAAATGACTTTAATTTATTGCATTTATTCATTCTTCCAGAAGGTTTCCAAAGCATATCCAGAACTTGTTTCTTGGTGAATACCTGTTCTCTAAAGTATACAGTAGTAAAACAAATGTGGTGTCATTTTATACACAGCATGTTTCATTATTCATTATTGCAGTGCTCATACTTTGAAGCAGCTTCCATACTAGGTTACACAAAATGTAGTTTCTAGCCTACAGAGTCAAGACTTAATTTGAAGAGATTTCTTTTTTTCTCATGTAAAATTCCTATAGTCATAGAGGATTTTGCAAAAGGATCAGTAAACAACAATGACACTATAGCAGTAGTGTTTCAGCATTCATGAAGCCTTATGTTGAAATTTTATTTTTGTGCACAAACTTTGAGTAATTCCAGTATTTTGATTTTCCTTTATATCATACTAAAGAGAAGGAATTGTGTAAATTATTTTTTCTGACTGTTTTTTAAAAATGTTTTCCTTTTCTTTTAGTCAAACTATCTCAAAATCCAAGTTCAGGTCAGTATTTCCCTTTTGTTTTCCAGTGCTTTTTTTGTTGTGATGGTCTATACATCATGATGACAACACGTGATTATTATTTACTGTTTTTCATTTGGCTGGGTGAAAATGTTACTGAGAGGTTGATGAATACAGTAGAAATGTATTCACAAACATTCTTTGGAATAAAACTCCCAGATTCATTTCACTGGTATTTGTGGCTTTCTGTCACTTAGTCAAACATTCGGGTAAATGAGTTTTTATTTACAAGAATGATTGCAGAAAGCAAGAGGCGTGAGTAGAAGCAAGAATATGTACTATTCTGAGTGTGTTCATGGTGGATGTTCTGTTGCAGTCCTTGAAAAAACATTCTTTTATTTGACTTTGTTCCCATCATCCAAAAATAAAATTTGCAAACAGAAAATGCAGTCTTATAAAGCCTAGTTTAGTCATTAAACAAAAACAATGACAAGAGACAAATCATGTAGCACATGTATTGAATTGTGGATAGTAAATATATTCTTAACCAGTCTGCAACAATCCACAGCCTTAATATTCTTTACACAGATTATTCACTGAACAACAGAGGTAATCAAGAAGATAATTAAGGTTCTAACAAAAAAGCATGTGGATTCATTCAGGCTTTTTGACCCACTGAAACTAGTTTTAGCTTTGGGTTTTGTTGCATAATTTTACTGACAGCACTGGAGTATTCTCTCTGAAGCAAAGGGCTAAGAGATTTTGCTGGTTTGCACATGTGGATAGACCCTATTGTTTTGGTTTTTTAAGCGACAGGCTCAAGATGGTAATTGCACTAAAGGTTTGCTCCTGTGTTGGCTGGTAGGATTCTATCTTGTCACCCCTCCTATTCAATGTGCTTATGAAGCCACAGTTATATTAACGAAGAGTTGTGGACTATGCAAATTGTGGCTTGCTTATGGATTAGTTTTTGTAAAAGCCATCATTTTTTCATAAATAACTCAGAACAGATGAAGTTAAATTATTTGTGTGCAAAAGAGCTCATATTATAGTTTGGCTAGCTGTAGCAAATTATATCAATTAAGCAATCCCTAAGAGTTTAATATTTCTTTAGGGCTGTTACTAACGCTATGAAACATGGCTTTATAGTTTCAAAACAGGAACATTTCATGTAATTAAGAATATGTACAATATGTGGATTCACTTCAGATAAAAAAACCCTACATTTGATGCTTGTATACAGAAGTCCAGTATAATAAAAAAATACAATATTAGAATTTCTTTTGCTGCAAAATGAGAGAAAATGGTGCAAAAATTTTTTTTACATGAAGATACTATATAACGGAGCATCACATTTCAATGTCATGCCCCCTTTTTCTTTATTCTGTTTCTTTGTGTATGTGTGTAGATGTATGTGCATGTATGCATGTAGTTCTGAAGATTTTAACAAAGATGATAAATATCAGCTATTATTTTCCTGTGAGACTTTGTTTGAAAGCTTATTTAGACTAAAGCAACAAAAATTGTGCAAACACTGAAAAATGTAAATGACTTTACATGTGGAGCCTAAAATTGCACACCCCTTGGGCTGTATTTTCAAAGACTGTCACAGGGATTTAGCTATACCATTCTGTCATTGGTTTTAAAACTCTCAATATGTAAGAGTTTAGGCCTGATTAAAGGTCACTGAAGTCAACAGAAGTCTTTTCATTGTGTTCAGTGGACTATCTCTGTGAGTGCTGCCAACTCCCACAAACAGGTTGAGTCTACATGAGATACTGCCAGGCAAGTGGCAGCGGGCCATAGCCCCTACTTCCAGTGCTGCCACACCCGCATCCTCCAAATCTCTGAATTGAATCACTGTCTTCTGAATCTGCCAAATTCAAATCCAAATCAAATACTTTCCTCTTCACACAGGCCTACTGATTACTCCACAATCATTTAGTACTTGTATCATTTACTACTTGTGTATACAAGTACTAAATAACTGTACAGTAACAACTGCACAGTTAGCGTCATCTAGATGAAGCCACAGTCAGGCTCTAGGGGCATCTCTTTTTACTGACTTCTGTTATGTAAGTTTGGGTTATATTGTACAAGTATGGTTGTTAAGAACATAATGCAGTTTAGCAGGAAGTTAGCAAGCCAAGAACATTCACAGTATCAAGTTAGTTTAGTGCAAGGGATTTTTCTTCATATGATTATTATTAGGTATAGGCTATGAAACATTTTCATAATGCACTAATACTATTTTCCATAATGATTAACACCAGTTTAAGGTGACTGAAGGGAATTCAATCAGTGCTTGAGTGTTTTGCCAAGACTATTTATTTTTATGAACCGTGATATCCTGGATTTTCAACTTGAGGCCCATTAGAACTTTTCCAATATACAGCAAAAGCTCTGTTATCTGGCACCCATGGGGAATGGGGGTGCCGGGTAACCAAATAATCCAGTTACCTGAGGCATCTTTGCCTGGTTGGGCAAAGACACCCCTTCCGCCGCATCTGGTGTGTCAGTGTGCCAGGGGACAAGGAGCTGGGTCCCATGGAGGCTGCTTTGCCCTGGGCTGTGGCCCGAAGTGGGACTCGGTGAAACTGGAATTCCCACTTCTGGTTTCACTTTCTCTGCGTTGACTGATGTCAACCGGCATGCCGGTTAATAGAGTGTGCTGGTTAATAAAGTGCTGGATAATGCGGCTTTTACTGTATACATGATAAGTACAGAGGCTATAAGATTTTTATCTAATTATTTGTAGCAATTTAGGTATCATAGAATATAAATAAAAATAGAATTTTTTAGAATGAAAAGTAGTAACCCCCTGTAAATTTCAGTTTTAAGAAGCATTACATCATAATGGAGAAGGTCTGGATTCACACACTGAAATTCATATTTTTTTTATTTTGAAGCTGTTTCCAGATCCCACTGATATTAATCTTGCACAGATTTTAAGCCCTTGGTGCAGGAGGCTGAGATTTGCTATCCCACATGTTTGCTTACTTACTTATTTGTTAGATTTCTTTCTTGCTCTATCCAAAAGGCTCAGAGCAGTTTGCAATAAACAAACAATACCCCAAAACCAGAGAACTCCAACTCTTTCCTCCACCAACCACGACTTCCCTGCCAAGCCCCACCCCCAGCATGCAAGTCTTTTGCCAATCCCAAACATGCTTCTGAGCTATCACTAATATCTTGATGCAAGAAACCTCACTCTACTCCCTCCACTCCACACCCAAGCACCCCTACCATGCTGCCTTACCCCGGGGTAAAATTCTCCCCCACTACCTCCCAAGGTCCCTTCCAAACCTGCAGCCCATTTGCTATATCCTTCCAACACATAAAACACACTAAATTTCTCCCTCTTCCCCAAAAAACGCAATGCTAAGTTCAAAAGGAGCCTAACAATAAAGTGAGAGACCCTCCGTCCCTGCCTTAGTCACCACTAAACAGCAATGCCAAGGGCACTTCTATGTGTTGCTTTTTGGCAGCACATGTTCAGGGAGGCCTGATGGGTTTATAGGGCCTACTGGCTGGCTGGGTATGTTTATTTCCATTCAGGTGGCCAAGATGGTGCCTGATCTGGGCCCCATTCCTTCCTGAGAAGGCAAGAGTGTTGGGGGACAGAGTGATCGCAGCATGTCTACAGCCCATTGAAGGCCTGATCTACACCTGTGGTTTTTGTTTGTCGGTTGGTACCATTTGGTACCATTATTATAATATCTGAGTGCTTCATAAAAATAATATTCTTCATATATCTACTCTGTTTCTTTGCCTCTCCCACCAAAGGTAAGTGAGGCAGGGAAGATTTAAGTGGCTTGTCCATGATTTCAGAGGAGGTCTGACACTTAGCAGAGTACCCAGAACTCATGAGTGCCAGGCTAGCAGCCTTGCCAGAGCATGATTCTTCCTGCCTTAGTTGAACCCAAAATTAGAGATGATGTGTTTTAATGTTGTAATATTGCTGATTTCTTCAGTAAACCTTGTCTGAATAGTGCTCTGAAGCTGCCTCTTAGGCTCACCTTTACCTCAGATTAAATATGCTTGGGCCCCTGTTTACATCTAGAAATGCCATGATGTAATGTGAGTGTCCTAGGCACTGGGATATTGGGTTAGGTAGGACAAATACCATCATTGTGGTGCTGCTACTGTCTACGTTATATTTCTTTCATGGCTTCTCATGTGTTCACAAACATAGTCATATGCCTTCAGATCTCCCACCAAATAGAAATCTTATTCAAGCACAAATGCTGTAATATTTTTCTGCAGTATAATACAGGATTTTCTTACTTCAATTTTTAGTCGACGCTGGCGTCGCTGGAACCGATTCAATCGAAGAAGATGTAGAGCTGCAGTAAAATCTGTCTCATTTTATTGGCTGGTTATTGTCTTAGTCTTTCTAAACACATTGACTATCTCATCAGAGCATTACAATCAACCTAACTGGTTGACCCAGATCCAAGGTACAATCAAAGACCATTTTTCCTGTTTTGATTACAGATAACTGAAAACTCCCATTGGCTATGTTTGCACTTACCCTTTTTGTACCACATTTACTTAAATGCAAGAAAGCATTTTTTTATTCCCCCGATCACCATGTGGAAAAAAGGTCCTTGTCATACATTTCCATACAACAAAAACACAAATACATTGTCTAGTTTGAAAAAAAGGTAAAATGCATCAATTTTGGGTGAACTAAGTCTATGGGTACTATATGCAAATTACTAAAGATATGTTTATTTCAAGGTCAGTTTTTTCAAATTTGCTCTTCATGTCCATGTGCTCAGGGAGGGCGGGGTCTGAATAAGGAAGGGGGAGAGGTTGCAGAGGAAGAAGTTGGCGGGGGAGCAAAGGCACTACCTGACCCTCCAGATTTATTTTCCCTATTGTAGCTGTGGGAAGAGGACAAACCTAAGGCAAACCTCCAATAATTAGATTCTGCACATGGCAAATTATATCAAATTTATGAATTTTCCACATATAGAATCTAATTATTGGTGGGTCATCTTATAAGCACAGTCATCACATATTGAAGCAAATGTGGTAGTTTATTTGTTATCTTTTAAGAACATCCAGGTTAAAGAGACGATATAGGAAATGATCAAATATCTCATATTTCCACAGTATAGAGGCCAAACTACAATGCCAAATTTTTAAACAGTGATGCCATTAAACTTTAGATTTGCTACCCTATTCAAGCCATTGTCAAGATAAAAAGCACAAAAAGGTGGAATAATGTAAAATTTATAGATGAAAGGAGAGAGTTAGATGTCTCGTGCCTCTTGCTAAGTGGAGAAAAAATGGTGTTATAAGTAAAGGAAGTGGTGTTTATTTCCCTTTGTATTGAAAAGCTGCAATCTAGCATGGAATATCAATAAACTAAGTGAAAAATGAAGTATGTCAAATAAATGAGAAATATTTAAAATATCATTTTCTTAATGTTTTATTCCAGATATTGCCAACAAAGTTCTTCTGGCTTTATTCACCTGTGAAATGTTAGTAAAAATGTACAGCTTGGGCCTACAGGCTTATTTTGTATCCCTCTTTAATCGTTTTGATTGCTTCGTTGTTTGTGGTGGCATTGTTGAAACCATATTGGTGGAGTTGGAAATTATGTCACCTCTTGGAATCTCAGTGTTTCGCTGTGTCCGTCTTCTACGTATTTTTAAAGTAACAAGGTAAGACTAAAGATTATCTCATTTTCTTGCTACTAATTTGATGGGTACTTGTATGGTGGATCAGCAACTCTTTTGTAATATTTCATCACGCACTGTTCTTTTACAGTTTTTTTGTGTTAACACGCGCATTTTAATTTATAGGCACTGGACATCCCTGAGCAACTTGGTAGCATCCTTGTTAAACTCAATGAAGTCCATTGCTTCACTGTTGCTTCTGCTTTTCCTCTTCATCATAATCTTCTCATTGCTTGGAATGCAGCTGTTTGGAGGCAAATTTAATTTTGATGAAACTCAAACAAAACGGAGCACCTTCGATAATTTTCCACAAGCTCTTTTAACTGTATTCCAGGTAACTTTTTTTTCACCCCTATAAAACATTTTACGTTTGATAAACAACAAAGCTGTTTAAGTGAACTTATCTCCTACAAAAAAAATCACAAATGCTATCTATTCTATTTACTTTAAGTAACATTTTGCTCATTAAATTCAATACTCTAGTAATTTTACACCATTTGTGCCATTTGTTTCATATCTTATTTGATCGATCTATGCAGCATAGCTTTCATGTTACTTCATTAAGTCTTCTTTGTCCATCAAAGGCATGACTAGTTGAAAAGTTGGAAAGTTATTTTATTTTAATTAATGTTTTCCCTGTAAGTTCATTAATTGTTTTATGATAGATGTGTGTATTTCTGAAATTTAGCTACTTAAATTTTATTGTCTGGATAAATTGAGAAACATTTTCAGATTACCTACTTAAGTGAATCATATCACTTAATATCACAATAAGCTGGATTTCTTTACAGGAACACTGTCAGGTTAACAACTCTGTACAATTTAACACATATATATTTGTTACTTCTAACAGACTTTTAGAATGTAAATTTTATTCTTTTCTCTATTTTTTAATTTGTCTCAGCTGGAGCACTGAAATTAGGCTAGACAGTTTTAGTTTAATTTCTAGTCATTTTTACATTCAGGCTTGGAGGTATTAGCTCCGTACTGGAACATTTATTTTGTGCTACCAGAAGGGAATCTTAGGAGTTGGCCAGTAAGTTTTCTGTCAGAATCCTGTTGCCTCATTGAAGCTCTGTGATGACTGCTTGAAGTAAACCAAATAACTCTTTCTGCTGAATTTAAATATCAAGAAATTCAGATTGGAAACATTTCCATTAATCTTAAATTTCCTAAAAATATTTTGATCTTTTCTAACCCAGAAGGGTCCCTTTAAAAAATTAGCTCACCATTTTAAAACTTTGTTGCCTAAATGTCTCCATTCACTTTCATATTTGTCTATGTAAAGTAAGTAGTCTGATTTACAGAGGTGCTCAGATCTCCTCATTTTCATTCCAAGCTCCAAAGTTTGCTGCTGGATTCCCAGCATCTCTAAAAACTAGACAATTTAGGAACCTGAACACAGAGTCAGGGGATTGACTGTTGGCATTTGTGTGTGTGACTTTCTTGCACTTATCCATAGGCTAGGGACAGAAATTACACATAAACTGGTATAAGTGATCGGAAACTAGTTCAAGTCTGTAACACAACAGAAGTTCAGTGCACGTAAATCAGTTTCAAAATAGCTGAAACCGGTTTAAGATAAACCTGCATGGATGTAGTATCAGATGTATCTGATTTAGGTTAAATTGTTTTACTGAACTTCTGTCCCAGATCCCCTCCAGGTTCAAATTAACTCACTGTCCCACAGCATCTCAGGATACCTTGCAAACTCCCCTTCACATGTTGGGTGGGGTAGCCCAATCTGTTTGCTCCAGCAGAGCAGAGAGGCATGCTCTAGCACCCCCCCAGCTACTGGCCTGGGTCACTGTCGGCTTGTGGCTGCATTTCTGGAATCAAAAGTGAATGTCAGTTCACTTCTTTCTCAGTTCAATCTATGCAGCTTAAACTAACTTGTGAAGACTGAATCAATTCAGCCTTGGACTTTTTGACTGTCTGTACTTAGCCATAGAGACCATCACCATGATGTTTTTTTCAGGACTTCTACACAGTTCGAACAGATTCTAAATCTTGCCCAAAGTATATATGTACATGATGTTATGTACCTTTCGGGAAACAGTTTGTGGCTAAGATTCTTAAAAATGTGTACCTAAGCTTAGATTTGTAAGCCATATTAGGTCTTTAGAAATGCAGTTCACTGGCATCAGTGTTTAATATAAATAAAAATTGGTAGATATAAACCTGAGCTTCCAGTAATAATAATAAGCATGCTATTATAACACATCAACCCTCCCAAGTAAAATGGTCAGTTAATTATTTTGTATAAAAAGAAAATGCTAAATATGTTGTGGATGGAGCATTCATAATCCTCTTTTATTAGTCACTAGTTACTAATAATGTATTTGCTTTGTAGATTCTAACTGGTGAAGACTGGAATGCTGTTATGTATGATGGCATTATGGCTTATGGTGGTCCATCATCATCAGGCATGATAGTCTGCATATACTTCATTATCCTCTTCATTTGTGGTAACTGTATCCTTTCACTTTGCCAAATGACAATGGCATTCAGTGCAACAGCTTTTGACCACAACCATGGGCTAGAGATTAAAGGGGACTGAATTATGATGACACTTATACATGATTTCTGTATAATGGATGTAATTTCTGAGACCCAGCAAGTTCATTCTGGATATTACAGACTTGGTAAATAGATGTTTCCTCCTGTTCTGTCCTTCCTAACAAGGCACTTGCCAACTCCCTAAGCATCTCTTCCCACCACACTAAAAAGGACCAGAATCCCCACCCCCCGCCCCGATGGGAAAGCAACCTTGTTCTGCATAGTAATTTTATGTTGGTTACTCTCCCTTCCAAGATACATGGAAATATCCGGTTCTCCATACCAGTGATTTCTCATCCCTTCTTTTCAGTCGCTGAGGCATCTCTGGTAGTATTGAGGCATGTATGTCCTATTAGTGAGCCCCAACCATCTGGAATTGATTCTTAGGAATGTGGAGCTGTTTGAGAATAGTGCCACAAAAGGGTTTACCTTCCTAGGACCCATTTTTGTCCTCAGCAAGCAAACTCTTTTGTTCACTAAGTTACAGCTCAGCCAGGTGGCTAGTTAGTTCCTGAAACTAAGAGCCAATAAACAGGACCAAATATTAGATTCCTTACATTACACATTTATGGTATTTCTATTTGAAATTTATACTTCACTGTTACAATGTGAAGTACTGGACTTGGCCTGAAATGCAGCACATAAAGTAAATACTGAAGTGTAAGAATTCATTTTTTAAAGTACTTGAACTAGTATCTGAATGACAGCATGTAAGGTTTGAAACTTATCCAGGCCAATGTAAACATTTATTTATTTTTTTAAATTCACTTTTAAGAAATGTCTATTTTTTTTTAAGTAGTGTGCTTCATATTTTATTGCAGTAGAATCAGTGGATCTTATGTATCATTAATACGATACAGTTGCCTACTATTAAGTTATACTGAAGTTGAATTTGGTCCAGTAAAGTAAATGCTGTTACGAGCAACACATCTGGTTTGTAAATCTCTGCATTTAGCTTGGAAGCATAAGTTTCATGCCTCTCACATTGTTGTTTTTCATAGTGATAAGGAATAAACTAAACACAAAGTTGTACTGCACAATGCCCTAACAACAGTTTTGAAATAGATATCTTGCTAAATGTCTTCTTGGCCATTGCTGTGGATAACTTGGCAGATGCTGAAAGTCTGAATACAGCTCAGAAAGAAGAAGCAGAAGAAAAGGAGAGGAAAAAGAATGCCAGGTAAATGAATGCTGACACATTTGATGGGAGTGCAGGATTCTCCTGTTTTGTAATGTATTGATTCATAAACAGTTTATATTGATTCATGGAAACAGCTACAAAGAGTTCAGAATTAGAAAAAAGGAAAGAGCATACCATACCCTTTAAATTAATACCAAGATGATGTAATTTTAGTTTGAAGTTGGCCAAAAAATTGGAAAGATGAAGTTACTTAAGATGGTCATAATCCAGTTGATATTGAAATGCTGGGAAAAATAGGATTTACTGTGCAGTTAGAACAAGTATGTATCCCTAGAGGTATGTGTGCAACTCCCATTTGAACCAGCTCTACAAGCTTTATATATGCAAGAAAAAGTCTCCCTTCAAAGTCACGTTAGTCCTGTGGAAGTCAATAGGATTGTATCCAAGAGCACAATTTACCCACTAGTAATGGGCTAAGGATAATGCATTATATTTTTAGGGATCATCTTCTGGATTTATATTTAAAATGAAAATCTGTGAAATGATCTGGACATTGTGATGAAGCAAGCTTTATTAATTTTGTGGCTCATATGTCATGTCTTCTGTAAATGCCACTTCAAACTGAGTACCTGTATTTCTGTAGGCATGATCTCTTCTCTCAGAAGAATGGGTGGCAGCAATTAAAAAGCTTCCTTTTTCTAGTCCTTCAGTCTTTACATGATCAGGTTTATTTGTTTTTGTTTTTTGTAGAAAAGAGAGTCTGGAAAATAAAAAAGGTGACAAATCGGAAGGTGACCAGAAGAAGTCCAAGGATAGTAAGGTGTTTATTTTATTAGATATATTTTTATTTTGTTACAGAGTGGTTCTGTTGTGTCCACTAAATCAGCTCAGAAATGCATTGTGGGTACTTACACATACGGGGAAAAAACAAAACAAAACGGAGCTTTACTTAGTTCAGTGCACCCCCACATCAAGCACAGCACATGCCCAGTTTGACTTGGCTCACCCAGCTTCTGTATAGCTCATGCATCAGCAGGGCTTTTGGTGCTTTTATCTAATAGCTGATTGAATAGCTCAAAGTGTCAAAAAGCCCTGCTGAAGTGCGCGAGATGTTGGGGAGCTGGGTCAAACTGATGCTATTCTCCTGGTAAAGCGCTGTTTTGGGGGTTTTTTCTATGTCTGTCAGCACCCTATTGAATTTCTTTTTCAGTTCCATATTGTTGCCTACGTGATGGTTTTTCCCCTGGATGAGAAAGGAAACTTTCTGTGCTCAGCCTGTACACCTGAAGCAATATCTGGTATACAGGAACTAGTAGTATAATGGAGATAGGTGAGGGGGCACAAGCCCCAGGTGCTGATTAAGGAGGGGCACCAGAGTGGGGGCAAGGGAGTACCAGAACAGATGTGGCTGTGCTGCTACTCTGACAGCTACTGGCTCCAACTGTTTATAATGGGAGAAGGTGATAAGTGCTTATAAGCACCCATCCCTGCCACTGAATTAGGGGGTTATATTGACACTCAACATAGCATTCAATGGCACCTGTGGCAGGACAGGCAACAGGCTTAACTTCTTGGCTGGAGGGCACCTTCCTCCCTACCTGCTGGGACCTTAGAGCAACCCTGACTCTATCCCCTGCACAGCTGAAACCCACAGCTACTTGGACTCTAGAGTCCTCTTGCCTCTGCCCCCATGAGTCCTGGACCAGCCAGACACCATGGCTGCCCAGGGCACAAACCCTACCATTATGCTTCTGGCTCTTGTCACTTTACTCCAACTCTGTTCTGCCCAGGCCCTGAAGGAGCTCTCTACATCTCTGTCAGAAGCTGCCATTCATCTAAGGATGTTTTAGTGCCCCTCAAAGGCCTTACGTGCCCACACAGAAGCTTGCAGTTCCTAGCATCTAGCACTCAAACCCCTACAGACTCCCTGGGTGAGGAGTTTCAGAGCATGGAATAAGTTAACTTTGGCACATTTCAGCATTAACTTAGGCACGTTGTGAATTTCCTGCTAAAAGAGTCATCTGGACTGTGGTAGTATATAGTAATATTAAACCACCCCATGCAATTTCTACAGGTGCCTGTTGGTTTTATCTCAGTTTCAGTCTACAGATCCATAAGTGTATAACCACAATAAAAATACATGAACTTATTTTAAACAGACTTTAAGAAATCAGCTGTCTCCCTTCTCTACTTCCAGTCTCATAAGAGCCACTCTGAATCTTGAAACACTCTAGTTGTAAGCATATGCCTGACTTCCTTGGCACTGAATACTTGGCTTCAGTTTGACATTTGCTTCAACCAAATGCATATCTGTAATGTCTCTAGGGACAGAAGTTATACATAAACTGGTTCAAGTCATCAGAAACTGGTATAAACCTGTAACAGAACAGAAGCTCAGGGCACATAAATCAGTTTCCAAATGGCTGAAACTGGTTTAAGATAAACCCAGTTGAAGGTAGTAGCAGACTTTACTGATTTGGATCAAACCAGTTTATGAAACTTCTGTCCCAGACCCTTTCCTGGTTCAAGTTAAATCACAGTCCCCCAGCAGCATCCCAGCATGCTTTCCAGCCCTGGGCTGGGCTATCTGGTCCAGCAGAGAAGGGTTGGGGAGGTAGGGGAGGCAGGGACCCAGGCAAACTCTAGCTGGGGTCTGGCACCAGGAAGGGGTGTTAAACCGGAGTCCCAGAGGCACCTGGAAGCAAGAAGAGGAAGTGATGAGCAAACCTGGTGAGTCCTGTGGTGTAAGTCTGGACTGCAAATCCCAGAGACCTTGGGGGCAGCAGGAAGAGGAAGTGAACACACTGCCCATGCTGGCTACATGCCAGAGAGGCATGCTCTAGTGCCCCCTGGCCTCTGGCCTAAGCCACTACAGGCATGTGGCTGCATTTTCTGAATCAAAAATAAATGTATTTCTAGTTGTTTCTCAGTTTAATCTCTGCAGTTTAGATTAACCTGCAAAGACTGAATTGATTCAGCCTCTGGCTTTTTGACTGTCTGTACTCAGCCCCTATGTCTCTGCCATTATCATAGGTAACGATTGCTGAATATGGAGAAGGAGAAGATGAAGATAAAGATCCTTATCCACCTTGTGATGTACCAGGTATGCAGGCAAGAGACATGTTTATGTCTGTTTGTTGAAATACGTCAAATATACCGTTGCTCTATGCTTATACAGTTTCTTTAAAATCAATAAAGTTTGTACCTTCTGACACAGTTGGTTAAATTAGCCAATGGAATGCAATGTTAGAGCTTTTTCTGTAGTCCATTTGGATAGCATATATGTATGTCATGGGGCAGTGTCCCCAGGAGTGACTGTCATGCCCCTGGAGGCTCTGCGCCCATGCCAATGACGCCCTGAGGGCACCCTCTTGTCTCACGTGCCATGTCTTGTTGGTAAAATAAATTGGGAGGCTACCCTTGGGCCTTTGTGTGGCTCCAGTCTGCTGAACCTCACCAGAACTCGTTGGTTCTTGAGCCCTCAGCCAGATCTCTCATTAGTACTGTGCCTCTTGGGGCACCTCAAGCCTTATGGGCTGATTGCTTGGCTCTAAACCTCACCTTTACCATGCCCCATGCCTCGCAGGTGTTATATGGATGTTGTTCCCTGTACTGGGGCCTCAGCCTACTTGTCCTCCAGCCCTTTAATCTGGCTAGTCCTTCTAGCCTAGGTCCATTGTGTCGGATCTGGCTCCAAGGGACTAGCTCCAATTGATCTGTTTCTGTCACTGGGCCCTTGAGCCCTTGTCCCTGCTGCACTCCTCTGGTGCCAGCTGTCAAGGGGTTGGACTACCCAAGCAGCCCTCGACAGCTCAACAAAACTTGTTAAGTGGCCTCACATGTATAGTTGTGTCTCCTTGGGTGTGGCATCAAGAGATTGGGTGCTGATGAGGCAGCTCCTGTGTGACTTCAGGCATTTGTGTGCTGTGGGATGGTTGTATAGGAGGTCTCTCTCATCTTCAGTTTGTCTTGATCATTCTGTGCTGCTGCTGACTGCTCTTCTGATGTCAGGTGGAGTGAAGCCAGCCAGCAGGTACACACCTTAGGCTGATAGGCTTCAGGCATCCTGATATACATCAGCAGCTATCATACAGGGTCAAGGTGCTTAACGTGTATGGATCTCTCCCATACAGGGCATGCACACTCAGCAGAGGAGAAGCTGAGAGCCAGAGCAGTGGTTTGGATGGTTGAGGGGCTAGCTCCCCATTTCGAGCTGGTGAACGTATATACAATGTTGTTCCAAATATTCAGCTTTGCTTTTGTCTTCATGATGTGTTCTTTGCATGAGAGGGTTCAATCGAGAGTGACTCCAAGGTAAATTGGATTTGGACAGTGGGAAAGTGCGATCCCAGACCATGTAATATTGAGCTGGTGGTTGGCCTTGTGGTTTTTCAGATGCAAGGCACATACTTGTGTTTTCACTGGGTTAGTTTTCAGTGTAGTATGAGGTTAAGCCATAAGTTCCTTGCTTAGGGATTTTTCAACATGGTCAAAGCCAGTATTTTGGGCTATTGTGAACATATCATTTACATAGATGAAACATTTTGTTTCTAAATCGATTAGTTGGTCATTCGTATAGATGTTATATAACAGTGGTGCAAGTATGCTTCCTTGGGGGAGGCCATTGATCTGTCACCTCCATATGCTTTACTTCTCATCCAGTTTGACAAAAAAGCATCTGTTTTTGAGCAGGGTTTGTATGACCTCTGTCAGGTGTACATTTTTTGTCATTTCCAGGGTCTTGTGGAGGAGTCATTGGTGGTTAACTGTATCATAGGCAGCTATTAGGTCTACAAATGTAGCTCCAGTGATTTGGCCTCTTTCAAAACCATCTTCGACAAGATGAGTTATATTGAACAACTGGCCTCATTGTTCATTTTTCAGGGTGAAAGCCACTGTTTTCAAGGATTAAGTCTTTACCCATGTATGGGGCAAGCTGGTTCAGTATCAGTCATTCATATAATTTGTATGTGTAGCATAGCAGAGAGATAGGTCTGAAGCTCTTTGAGTCAGATGGATCTTTTCCTGACTTCAGAAGTGGCACTACCTACCCTGTTGCCATATCTTTGGAATTTTTTGGCTGACTGTACGTGAGTTCTATAGTTAGAGAAGCCATTCAGAAGTCCATGGTCCAAACTGATTGATTTGTTTGGTAAGGATGTTGTCAAGGCTGGCTGCTTTCCTAGTCTTCAGTGTGTTAATACCAGCATTCAGCTCTGTCATTAAGAAGGGGCTTGTAAAAACCCAGGTCTTTGGGGTACTTGCACCTTCCTAGTCTGAGGGGTTTTTGTTTGGTTTTGGTTTGGGGGCTTTCTCCATTGAGAAGCATCTCGCGAACAATTTGATTAACAATAACATTATGATGTTGATCTACCTTTTGTGGCTTGACATTTAGTTTATGTATTGTCGCCCATGCCTTTTTACTATTATGCATAATATCAGTTGACTGCAAAGATTTCCTGCATTCTTCTGTGATGGCCAACATGAGTTTCTTGCCCCTAGCAGTAGAGTTTACAAAAACAACTGTAGACTTCATACAGGCCAGTGGCTGTGGAGTGAGGCCAGGGTTGTAATTGAGGCAGCAGCCCAATGGAATGTTCTTTCTTGCAGATTTCTCCACAACTTTTATGGATTGGTCAGTTTTCTCAGGCAATGTTTTGATGGTTTTGACTGTGGCATCAAGGTATTCTGAAAGGCCTTTCCAGTTTGTTTTTTTAAGGTTGAAACATTGGCAGAATGGCACTGCTATAGGCATTACTGAAGCTTTGATCTGAATTAGTCAATTGCTAGGAATGTGGGGTAGGGTCTTAGCTTTATTACTTAGCCCAGCAATGGTGTTGTTGGTGAATATAAGGTCTGAGTTGTATTCTTGTTTCCAGTGGCTGCTGTTGAATGATTTAGGTAGCTTGGTCATGGAACAAATTTATCTGGTAGGCATCTGACCAAGCTTCTACTGCTTTGCTATCTTTATTGGTTTCTTTGTAGCCCCATTGCTTGCTATGGCTGTTAAAGTCACCAGTGATCAACTGTGGTTTATTTTGAGTGATCCCTGGTGTATCTGTAAAGGTGAAACTCATGTGAGGTGGTTTGTAGACTGAAGTGATTGTGATTCTGTTGAGTTCGACAGTCAGGATTTCACTGTTATTTTCTTCAGCCTTTGCTGTAGAAATTATGACCATTCCAGTTTTAACAACTATGGTGCTTCCAAATTGCTTGTGTAGTCTTTCAATCACCATAGTCATTTCACACATTGAAAGACAGTTATTATGAGGCCCTCCGTGCATCTCTTGTAAGCCCAAGACATCGCACTCATCTTTCTTACATAGATTTACAGTCAGTTCTTTTTTGATGTTGAAACCCCTTCAAGGTTTGCGGACAGTATTGTCAATGCGAGCCCTAAGAAGGGCTTGTGTCTTCAGTCACAAGACATTATGATTGGTTATAGCTGTTCAATTTGTATGGTCAAAATCTTAGTCTGGAGTGTTAGCAGAATTGGCAGGTGTTACTAGGTATTACCTGATAGGGGTTGCAATGTGAAAGCTTTGCTATAAGAAAATGTGACAAGAACTTGGAATCCCTTCACTGACTTTCAATTGGAGATAATCGAGATATATAAATGGCTGTCTTTAAAAATCTCTTAACAGAGTCCCTTGACTGTAATTAAAGCAATTGTCTAACATAATCATAGAAATGTCTGTATATTGCTTAATAGATTTTAAGACCTTCTATTATGTGTATGTATGTGCTAATACAAGCAATAACTTTATACTGTAACAAACAAAAACTTTGTTTTTTATAGTAAAAAAATTGTTTAATTTAAAGTAGGTGAAGAGGAGGAAGAGGAGGAAGAAGAACCAGAGGTACCAGCTGGCCCACGGCCCCGAAGAATATCGGAACTGAATATGAAAGAGAAGATAACACCAATTCCTGAAGGGAGTGCCTTTTTCATATTCAGCAGCACCAATCCGTAAATATCACCTTCATAAATAGCACCTTGGGGTTTCATCACTGGGGAATCAGTCTACTCTCGTGGAAGTAAAGAGCAGGGATCCCATTGACTTAATTAGGAGAAGAATTAGACCCTAATTAATAATTAAATTAATTTGCTTAAATACACCCTTCTGCAAAACCTTCATCAAAGTCAATATTTAGTGTGTGTGTGTGTGTGTGTGTGTGTGGGTTGGGGGTGTCCTACAAGCTGATCATTCAGTTTCTGAATAACGTGACTTAATGTGTGGTGTGTCTTCAATATAATACTTATCTTTTAATATTAGGCATGAGGGTAAAATGAGAATTATTTCAGTGTAAGATATTTGTATTATGTTATGGATTAACTAACAAAATTCCTGTGGGAAGCAACAAAGACCTGCGTTGATTTATGCCAACTGAAGACCTGACCCAGAGAGAACTCAAAATTCAGATAATATATATGACACAAAAAGCATTACTTTGACCTATTGGTGGAGTAATACTGAAAGAGGAGGAAAGAAGATAAGGGATAAGGAGAAAGAATACAGTACTCTTTGAATGGTGGCAATATTCAATGTTCAAACTGACTGTAAAAGGCAAAGAGAAATAAAAGAAATGAGAAATAAAAACAATGAAAGCTGGATGATTTTAGGGAATTGGAAAATGGAATTTTTCAATTCTAGGGATAGTTCCAGCTCTGTGCAGTAGTGAAGAAATCTATTTCATTAGTCAGTGGAAGCAGTGACCATTTGGAGGCTGTCATCTCAGCCAGGCTAATTAGTCTGGGTGAAGCACTACACTGTTGTGGTTATACTGCTATTCAAGATCTAATTTATGTAGAGCTTTCTTGGCTGTCTCTGCTCAGCATTGACTTGCACAGCATAGAGAAAACCCTGAATGTATAACTGAGACACTGAACTCAATCAGGCTCCCACCAAGGCAATTTGGGAATTCAAGAGCTGAATTAGGCTCTGATCCTAAAATTACTAATTAAGTCCTAAATGTGGCACTTTACTTCCTCAGCATGGCCCTCTGCACATGGGCACATTAGGATGAAATACTAGGATTTTTAAAAGAACCTAGAGGACTTAGTCCAGTGATTCTCAATCAGGGCACTAGTTGGGGTGCTGTGAGATGCTTGTAAGAGTGTTCCAGGGTGTCATTCAATATTAGCACTGTTAGGCATGCAAACACCTACAATTCACAAAATAAACTGAGTGGCGTTACCCATGCTGCCCCCAGGAGATTTCTAGGGTCAAAAACACCCAAATGGAAAAAATAAAGGGCAACACATGTGGTTGCTGTATGCACCTCCCAAAACCAGAGCCTAGCCTGCCAGAGCCATGATCCAGCGGCTGGTCAGGCTTCCAGCTGCAGGAGTGCCATGGCTGCAGCCCCACAAGGTTCCCAGGGACCCACGCAAGACTTCTGGGGCCAGCACTGTTTCTGGCTCCAGCCTCCCCTACCCTACCTGAGGTAACCTGACACATCCCAGATTGTGTGTGGCACCATGTTCCCTTCTTCTTCCTGGGGAAACAACTAGCCGTGCCTGTGTTGATGCAGCCATAGATACCAAATAGAAATCCATGGTGTCTGAAACATTTGGATCGGTTGTGGTCTTTCTGAGTTCTTTGCAACAGAAGAATTGCTCTATGATTTTTCGTTAATCAAAAAAAAAAAAACCCAAACCCCAAGTGAAAGCTAAAAGTTGACATTTTCTGAGGACTGCTTGAATCTAAAGAAGGGCACTTAGCATTTCCAAAGGTTGAGATCCACTGAATTAGGCACTTGCATCCTATTAAAAATCGAAGAATGTTGGCAGGTTAATTTCCTTGGATTCCCTTGAAAATCCCAGTCTTTAAGGCTGTCTTTATACATGCTTCAGGGGTGGGAGGGAATGCTTTAATTAGAACAGCTCCGAGAACTGATCTAATTAAAGAGCCTACAGAGTCATGTGTATTCAGTATCACATATGTTCAGACTGGCTTGTATTCCACAAGCTTTAATTAAAGTGCCCCCACTGACATTTTGAAGTGCAGGGATGCTGAATACATGAGATGTGGAGGCAACTAGAGTGCACTAATTAGCACATGCCAGCAGGTTTGATTAATCAAGTCTGCTTTGATGAACTGTAATTACAGTGCGTCAGAGCAGCGCCCCCACATGTGTATAGGCACTCAAAGTCTGTAGCCCAGATTCTGTACTCATTTGCATTGTTTTAAATCAAAGCAGTTCCTCGTCATTTACTTTGGCCTTAACTGAGAGCAAAATCTAAGTCTAGTTTTGGATTACCTCAGTTCTTTTCAAAGGAATCTGATGTATGTTGACCTTACCTCCCATATTTCATTTATACATGATGTATTTTTGTGTCTCTTTTTCAGAATTCGAGTAGGATGCCACAGACTTATCAACCACCATATTTTTACCAATCTCATCCTTGTCTTCATCATGCTGAGCAGCATTTCTTTAGCAGCAGAAGACCCAATTCGTAGTCATTCTTTTAGGAATAATGTAAGCGGACAATTGAATCTGTAGATAAGTTTGCATAATAATATGCCTTCTTGTTTACTCTTAAATTATCAATATGGCTAGAATACACTTGTTTGTAGTGTAGACGTTCAACTGTAGCTCATTATCACTATGCAATATATATTTATATTATATATATTTGTTTCTTTTGCTCTCTAAGCATATATATAAGTGTTTTACAATTTTACAAAGGATATTTTACTTTTAACATAATCTACATTACACAGTGAAGACTTTTTAGAATGTCAAAACATAGAACATGCAGCAGAATTTTAATCAAAATGAAATTAATCCTTTATCAATGTTTATCAGTGGAGGTCTGGCCCTTTCTTGTGTGAAGAGCCTTTGTTAATTCAGTTATATGAGCAGGCTCAAGCCCCATGTAAATAAAAAAAAAAAATCAAACAACTAAGGTTTATATGATGAAAAGCAGAATTCACGTGACTCTGACTTTAATCACTTTTTTCAGCTTAGAAATATATAAAATTATGCTCCCTGACAATGAGAGATGAAAACACTAGGTAAAATGTATAAAAGTTTGAATAGTAGACTGCTGCACTGTGGGTGTATCTACACGAAATGTTAACTGTACAGTAGCCTAATAACACTGCGCAGTAGTGTGCTGAGTAAAACCCATGCTCATATGCTACTGCACAGTAGTATTAGGATACTGCACAGTTTGCATCTGTAAAAACCTGTGCACCAGCACTACTGCACATTAGTACCAGTTTCTGTACATTGATTTAATACTTGGTTATCCAAGCACTAAATTTAATGCACAGTAACTACAATGTATTACTGAACATGTGGACACACCCACTAAGGCAAATCATTTGTGAATAGAAATCTTGTTTTGCCTGTACTTTGCTTGTTTCTTTCATAAATGCAGGAATTGTCTTTATGTTGAATCCTAAGGTATTTGGACATGCCATCACTTCTGTGTTTGAAGATAAATGTACATCAGTAAAATAATATAGTTAAATAATACAGTCTGAAATTTGCAACTGATTCTCGGTTGTCAGGTTAAGACACTTTCTTTCTTTGAACCTCTCTTCAGCGGGGTTTCCCCCCCCCCC